AATGTGATGATGATGAATTTTACTAAAAGTGTCATTTCTGGCCATCTAGAGGTACGGTACTATTACTTAAAATTTGTGCACCTCAACCCCAACTATGGTGGGTCTGAGGTGGGTGACTCACAAAATTCCCCCACCCCCTCCACCTTTAAAAACAGATCTGCGCCCTTCACTGGGTATGACATTAATCTCCATCGAGTCGGCACCTGACTGGGAGTATGTCTTAGTGACTTCTGAGGCGAGGGTGCATACATTTGTTTTTGGGATGTAATCTGGTTTTTCATGCCCATTTTTGTGATGACAACTATTTTAGATAAAGAATGTTTTGAGCAGTGGCGGATTCAGCCCCCCCCCCCCCCCCATAAATAGAAAACAAAAATAAAAATATATTCAAATTTAAGTCTCAGAGTGTAATTTCCGGACATCTAGAGGTGCCCTAGTCATAAATTGTCTTGCCTCAGCCACAACCATGGTGGGGCTGAGCTCACCCCCAACCATGGTGGGGCTGAGCTCACCCCCAACAATGGTGGGGCTGAGGTGGGTTCTTCCTCAGTTTGTGAAAGTCCCTCTCTGGGTCACCTCTCTTACGAATTCCAGGATCCGCCATGTTGAGTTAATATTATATCGTTAAGCTTAATATTATTTATGATGCGTCTATCGCAATTTTCACTTTATGCTCTCAAAACATTCCTAAAACGTTCACAGTGCGCTACCGTACATCCCAGGAGGCTGCGCCCCCTAGACCCACCGGGTTTCCATATACTCGATCCTCTAAAGACCAACTCAGACAGCGTCGGCCGACGCAGCCCGACCCGATTTATAGTCGGGGACAGTCTTAAGCCGTCGTGAGAAATATTAAACATGTTTAATATTCTACGACGCGACTGCCCCCGACGCACACCATCGCGTCTGCGTTTAACTCACACAGACCCGACGCGACAACAAATCGCGTCAGGCTGCGTCGTACGACGCTGTCTGAGTTGGCCGTAATGAATAGTAGCTCTTTCGTTGGCGCTTGTTTGGATCAGACTGCACACATTACTGTGGGTTGTTCACCACTCCTAATGCACATTAACTAAATCGTTTAACCGTTTGGTATGGGTCAGACCCTGCAACTCTTCATGTACAGTGTCTTATAATTTTGCTGGCCATTTACCCCTGGTGGAGGCAGAGAATCAAATAGAGTTAAGCGCCTTGCAGAGAAAACAAACGAAGCTAATGCATCAGCGAGAATCCCAACCGCTAAGCTCAATGGAGAGAGGGTAAAATTTTACAGCCCTGCTTAAAGTGATCGTAATATTCTTTTTAAAAATAGAAAGTGTTTACATGGGATTAAACAGCAGTCACAACTTTATTCACAAATTTTAAAAATTAAAGACTGTATTTTACCTATTTCAGGATAAAAAGGAAAGACGAATTCCTGGCATCAAACATTATTAATTAAATATCAATTCATACGTTAGAACTAACTTTATTGTCACTGCAATACCAAAACACAAAGGTGTAATTATAAAAAAATATCAACCAAAGCTTAACACCGACTTGGCCTTAAAGTTATACCAAAATAATAATTTTCTAGCATATACCGAACATATATGTTGAAATAATATTTAAATATATATGTATATATATTAACATTATATATACATATATATATAATGTTAATATATCATATGGATATATATAGACCTTGATATACTGTAGACCTATATATATATTATATACATACATATTATATATATATATATATACATATATATATATATATATATATATATATATATATATAAGAATACGTATATACTCAAGAATACGTAACACAATTAGATATATACACCTGCTGAACCTCATATATACATCCATTACCTTCCTATCGACTCACTCCTGAAGATTGCTATTGCATATTACGCC